GGTCTGAAAAGTCATGTAAAAGAGGGTGCTGCGTCGTCCTGAGGCATGGCGTCCTCCCCGAGTGCTGAATTCCCGGGTTCAGGTGCCGGAGAAGGCTGGGATTTTTTCTCGTGGACTTTCAGTAATTTCCCCTGGTCTCTTTGTAGGGAAATTGGACGCTCGTGCGTATTGTTACGCACGTTAAAAAATCATTTGGCAGTTGGAAATTGAAAAGAGTAGCCAGGGCTAAATTTGAAAATCTACGCAATTTTGTTCAGGATCCTCGCCGGTGAGACGGAGTTCATGCACTGTGCTGTACTGCTTCAAACTCAGGCTTGAGTTAGAAGTAGAACGGAGCACTTAGGGATTACACCAGTGTCCCATGATGTTGAACCGTTGAATAAACCAAGAAACCAAACGTCCTGTAAAGGATACGCAACTAACTCATACCCCGCATACCATGGGCAGAAAAGCCACGATATGCTCTTGACCAGAAGGGTGTTACTAAGCGACGCCAGCAAATCACCCCATGGAATACCAGTCTCTACTTCTATGTATGCTTTGTGACTCCGTTTTGGTTACAACATGTCGGACTTTAGCACTCCCCAGCATCTGAAAGCTGCCGTTACTGCAGCTACCACCATTATCATCTTGATGTTTTGACGCTGTATGTGAGGCTGTCCTTGTTAAACATTAACCCTTGCAATGAAGCTTCTCCCACTATTTTCTGTATCTTATTACAGACTTATATGTGTACATAGGGATGCCAATTGGTCGTGAATTATAGTTGATCAGCTGTTGTAGTGATGCCTCTGTTTCACCACTCACTGAAAAGTAGGGTGATCATATAATCTCGAGCTGAAAACGGGCCATCCTACTAATGTGTTCAGTTGAAAACGGGAAATCCCACTAATGTGTTCAGCTGAAAACGGGCTATCCCACTAATGTGTTCAGCTGAAAACGGGACATCCTCCTAATGTGTTTAGCTAAAAACGGGACATCCCACTAATGTGTCCAGCTGA